GACAACACCAAGTCAAGGGTTAAGATCCCCTTACCGGTCATCTTTAAAAAAAAAAAATCTGAGGTATAAGTATGTCCCAAATATTACATGGGATACACTTACACTAAAAAAAAAAAATTCATTGTTTCTCACTCATGGGGTGGCTGTGAATATTAAGAGCTGCCATAGGGGCTGTCATTAGGGAACACTCAAGTGCATTCGCTGTTCTGATGACCTCAGCAGAATCATTTTCCTGTTTATTCCCCACAATAACCCCTGGGAAGGAGGCAGGAGAAGCTGTATTTTCTAGAGGATGAACTGAGCTTCAGAGAGGCCAAGTGATTTACTCAAGTTCACACAGCCCCCAAACCAGCACTCCCACCCCAGGCCTCCTGGCCAAGGCGAAGTGGGGGTGATACGGGCAGTGAGCAAGGACAGCGGGCACAGGCCTGGATCTCACCTCTGACACGTGGATGCGCTGATGGGGCTCTGTCTGGCACAGCTCAGTCAGGTCTGGGTTGTGGTTCTTCCCATCTGGGTAGAGGTAGCTGGGGGAAGGGAACGGAGGGTACTGAGGGGCCACCGAGTACCTCCAACCCACAGACCAACAAGGACCCTCCTCTCCCATGGGGCCCCTTAGCTCCCAGGGATGAGGATCTGCCCCAAATCCATTGCTGGCCTGGGGATATTTTCCCTGTACTTTTCTCAAATTGTTACTCTTCAGGGCAAGCTGTGTCCCCTCAAACCCCCCAGGGCAGGGCTGTGTCCTTTCAGACCCCCAAAGAAGAGCACACTAAATCTAAATGACTCAAACTCTGGAAACAAGGGCGAGATTAAATGAGGATCAGGAAACTGATCAAAACCTCAGGCTTCGTCCTCCTAGAACCTCACTCTTCACCTCTATGCCTGAGCGTAACAGATTCGAGTTACAGATTGTTGGAGTGCGCAAATCCTAGAACCTTAAAATATAAGGGCCGGAGGACCCTCTGAGCCTATCTGCACGACTTCTTGCCTCGCAGATGGCGATCCGAGGCTCAGTGTGGGGAAGGCAACCGCCCAAGGTCACACAGTCATGCCAGAGAGACACAGAACCAGGGACGCAGGAAAGGTCTCAGCACTGGACTCAGGGCAGCTGAGAAGAAGGTTCTGGACCCTCTGGGCCTCCCATCTGGGTCATAACTGCATCCTCAGACCAACAGAGGGGTCATGAGTCCTCTGAGCCTGGTGGCCCTGCCACGCCAGCCACATAGAGCTGTGGAGGATCCCTGGCCTGGGCCCTGCAGTGGCTCTCCCACAAATGCACTGTGTGACCTAGGCTGGGCAATGCTACCTCTCTGGCCTTAGTTTCCCCTTCTGTACAATGGATGTAATCATGCCTGGGGCAAAGATTGGTGGCAAGGATTAAACAAGAGTGTGCTCATAGAACAGCCCTGTCCTCTGCACCTACGCACCCAACGCTGCAATCAACTTTCCATCCAGAAAGCCACCTTGCTGTGTAATGGAAAGAGCTTGGTGTCCCTTCCCCTCTCTCAGGGACTTGATTTTTCCACGGGTGTGTGTGTGTGTGTGTGTGTGTGTGTGTGTGCGCGCGCGCACTTGCTGTGTAATGGAAAGAGCTTGGTGTCCCTTCCCCTCTCTCAGGGACTTGATTTTTCCATGGGTGTGTGTGTGTGTGTGTGTGTGTGTGTGTGCGCGTGCGCGCGTACGTGTGCACGCGCGTTGTAGGGCAGGGGGTTTGGACCAAATTTGTGGTATTCACACAAAACTCTGGAATCCTCTTCTCCAATGAAATCCAACTTGGAACTCAGGACAGTATATGAATAAGGGTCACACTCTGAGCCTAGCTGCCTGGCTTCAAATCCCAGCTCGTTAGCTCCGTAGCTGTGTGGCCTGGGCAAGTGGCTCTGCCTCTCTGTGCCTCAATTTCTTCAGCTGTCAAATAGGGATATAATAATAGTACGTGTGTGTCTATACAATAGATCATTACTCACGGCCTCCGTACTTGCGAACTTGCCTACTCACTAAAATTTATTCGTAATCACTAAGTCACCACTCACAGCACTTTTGTGGCCATTCCCAGCACCACACTCTCCCGAGTGAGCCACAGGCCGGCCCCTTGTGGCCATTCCCGAACCCGCACAGAGAGGTGAAAACTGTGAGCAGCCCTGTGTGCTCATTCTCAGCTGAGTGTGAACAAGGCAGTACCTGGCCTCATTTCAGCTCTTATCCTGTAAACACGTGTTCTTTTGCAGTCTATTTAGTGCCACATTTCCCTCATTTTTATGCCTTTTGTTAGTGATTTCACTGTTTTAAATGGCCCCCAAGAGCAGTGCTGAGGTGCTGTCTATTGCTCCTAAGCAAAAGAACGCTGTGATGCGCCTTATGGAGGAAACGTGCGTTAGGGAGGCTTCATTCAGGCACAAGTTACAGTGCTGTTGGTTGTGAGTTCAACGTGAATGAACTGACAATATGTATCAGAGTGTCTTTAAACAAAAACACACATTAAGCTTATCATGTAGTGACTGGTTGACAAAATGTGATCAGAGTCTTGCAGGAACCTACACCTGTATTTCCCCTGGGAGCAATGGCTCAGTGTTCAATAATTCAGGATTAATGGCGATTTTATAGAACATAACTATCGTGAATAGTGAGATAGAGAGCAAATCTGTGTCTCTATCTCATATCATCCCACTCATATAGATATCACTAAGAAAGCTCTGGCTAAAGGTGAAACTCTAAAACTTAACCTGCCTTTTTGCCCCTCTCCTCCTATCCAAGACAGCTTCTGAAAGAGGGGTTCTGGGACAGCCAAAGTTACAGGTTGAAAACCATGTCTTGCTGGGTCCCCAGTTCTCTTTCTGCCTCACGGGTCTAGATTCCAGAACAGAATACGATATCCAGAAGTGAAAGCTCTTGAGCCCACTTCCAAGAAATGCAGACCCGGGGGCTGTGCTCAACTCCCAACATACACTTCTCAGATGTGCTGCCAGCCCCTTCTCAGATGTGCTGCCAGCCCTTCATGTCTTGCTGGGTCCCCAGTTCTCTTTCTGCCTCACGGGTCTAGATTCCAGAACAGAATATGATATCCAGAAGTGAAAGCTCTTGAGCCCACTTCCAAGAAATGCAGACCCGGGGGCTGTGCTCAACTCCCAACATACACTTCTCAGACGTGCTGCCAGCCCCTTCTCAGACGTGCTGCCAGCCCCTTCTCAGATGTGCTGCCAGCCCTCAGGGCAGCTTTTCGGGAACTGCAGAGAGTTGCTCCTTCCTCAAGACCCTTGACTGCTTCCTGCTGGAACGTTATAGTATTGCAACCTTGTGATTGTGAATTGTGTACCCCCAAACGTGGTGGTTTGGGCACTACTCAACATGCATGATCATTCAAAGTGGATTTTGCTGACACCTTTCTCCTGCCAGGATGGAGACTCACAAGCCGTTCTTTCTTCCTTCCAGGAGCACCTGGAACAGAGGTCTGTTGGGAGGGATGGTCTGCAGGATGCTGCCATCTACACTCACGTAGCCAATGGCCCACTGCCCCAGGCGAGTACAGCTGGGCCGGAAGATGTAGCTGGAGGGAGAGGTCGGTAGAATGGGGTGAGGAAGCAATCGCTGCTGTCCCTTTTGGGAATTCTCAGTTCCCCACCATATTGAGGATCCAGGTGTCTAAGTCCTTGTACCAGCTTCACATCCTCTAGGCAATGAGGTGCTAGATCCCTGTCTGCCTCTATAGGGGATACCTGTTGTTTTTACCTGCTTAGCTCTTATGAGAACAACACCCCTGTTTCTATTTGGAGAACTCTCCCTCCTTCACTGAAGTTTAGACAAGGCTAATTCTGGCTTGGCCAATCAGTGCATTTCAGGACCCCTGACTGCAGTGACAGGAGTCAGTTCTGGGACTTTTGTTGGAAGTACTAGAGCAAGTTACCCAATTTCTACAGAGTTTGCTAGACTGGGAGGATGTACAGCTGGTACTTTTAGAAGCCATTTGCCACCATGAGGAACAACCATGTCTGAGAACGAAGCTAACACAGAGGACAGCAGAGACAGGAGATGAACGGAAACTGATTTGTAACAATAGCCCTTGAACACCTGGATCCAGCTGTGCCTGAAACCCACACTCTGGTCTTTTCAATTATAGAAATCAATTCATTCCTTTTTCTTTTCCCTTAAACCAGTTTGAAGGGTAACTGGAAGAGTGCTAATCTATTCACCTTCCTGGGGTTCCTGCACCTCAGCCCTGCAGAGACTCACGAACATGACCTATTATTCCCTTAACTTTCTGGTGTTGCAGGTAGACCAGCTTCTTAATTCTTAGTCCCTTGGAGGGACCCAGCAGCTCAAAACCCCTGGCGTGGAATAATTTAAAGACTCAGGTGTCTAGTTTCCCAGTCTCCTACGCCAACAGGTCGTGGTCGCATTCAAAATATTTAACAGATGGTAAAGCGTGAGCTCTGACCTATCAGAAATGGACCTTACTCTGGGGCTGGGTCTTCCGACTCCCCTGCCAGACCAGGTGTTGTCCCTTTAACTGCTGGATTGTGGGACAGTCCAGGAGGTCTCAGGAGAAGAGGCAGGGTGACAGGGATACTGTGTCCTATCTCTGAGTTCTTGACTCTCTGGGATCCCAGGTCCCTCAGTTCTTACTCTCTGAAGGATGTCTGGGCTTCTACCACCCACCAGCCCAGCACCCAGACCCAGTGGCCCCCACAGCCTCACCTCCTGAGGCCTGAACCTTTTACCTTCCTGGCTTGTCCCTGCAGGCCTGCAGGCGTGCTTGGACCTCATCATATGTGAGGAAGGCCATGTAGCCTGGGTGGTTGACTGCCAGGAGCTGCCAGTTCCTGAGGAGTGTCGGCCATGGCTGGGGTGGGGCAGGGCTTGGGTCAGGGAGGGACCAAGGAAGCAGCCCACATCCCTAATGCCTCCCATGGTCCAAGAATCCAGCCATCCCACTCACACTCATGGTGGGCCTCAGAAATATCTCTTTTACATGGAAGACTCCAAACCCTTCCTTCTCCAGGACTCAGGAATCCAGGCTCTAGCTGCCTCCTCCCTCAGACCCCGGAGTCCAGGCCCCTGGTTCCTCCCCCCCTAGGACCCAAGAGTTTAAACCCCCAGCCTTGGCCTTTCCTGACCTGGAAGAGCCTGGTGAAGATGTCAAATTCGAAGATGGACACGTGACCACTGCAGGTGAGGTCAATAGTGGAGCGCAAGGCCAGGGCCATGGAGCCTGCTTCCACAGGGTGGCAGGTGCACAGGAGTGACTCAAACTCGGTCCAGGGCAGCACACACCTGGGCAGGGGTTGGTTGGGGGAGACACAGCTGAGGCCTCTGGGAGCACTGGGTGGGAGGATCTCTTAGAAGGCAGCAGCTGGGGGCTTGGACTCCTGGGTCTGAGGGAGGAGGAAGCTGGGGACCTGGACTCCTGGGTCCCCGGGCAGGGACAGAATGGGGCTAAGGAGGTAAGGGGCCCTGGGGTGGGTTCTCACTCACCGGACTCCACAGTGCTCTCTCCAGAAGGTGTGGGCGGGGGCCTTGGTGAGCTGGTATGTGTGTCCGCAGTACTTTCCCCCCGGGAAGAGCGCACCCAGTTCTGCATGCATGTGGCTGAAGATGAGGGCCAGCTTGGCCAGCTGTCGCCTGGGGGTGGAAGAGGACCCGGGCTGGACCTTGGGACTCCCAATGACACCTTCCCCCCCTCAGAGGAGAAGGTTCTCAGACTCTCTCAAACATATCAGTGCAGGGTAAGAGTTTATTCTAAGACTGCCTGTTGGCCTGAAGCCCACCGTGGCTGGAAAAGAGAAACCTTGCCTAGTAGGACCGTGAGGACGACTAGCTGCATGGGGCTGTCTGCATGTAGCGCATGCTCAGAAGTTTCCTCTCAGGTTTTAGCAACACCCAGGAGTGGGGTCGTAGACCCCTGTCTTTTCTCCTGCCGCTGCCTCCCTGAATTACTAGTCAGGATGTGGGGAATACCAAAAGGTAGCTCTGACACTTATCAGCTGTATGATTTTTGGCAAGTTCCTTTTTTTCTGCATGTAGCGCATGCTCAGAAGTTTCCTCTCAGGTTTTAGCAACACCCAGGAGTGGGGTCGTGGACCCCTGTCTTTTCTCCTGCCGCTGCCTCCCTGAATTACTAGTCAGGATGTGGGGAATACCAAAGGGTAGCTCTGACACTTATCAGCTGTATGATTTTTGGCAAGTTCCTTTTTTTCCCTAAGCCTCAGTTATCCTAACTGTGAAATGGGATAAGAATAGGATAGGCAGCAATGAGGATTCTTACATGTCTTATGAGCACACAAAATGCTTAGTACCCTGGGCATAGAGTCTGCATTTAGTGCATGTTAATTTTATTGCTGTTCTGATTTTACATTAATAGCTTCCTTGGACCGGGTCTGTAGGGTTCCTGACAGTTTCTAAGCACCTCCCTTTCCAGAATCTAGAGTTGTGTTATACAGAATGGTAGCCAATGTCCACATATGGCTGGTCCAGATTGAGATGTGCTTTAAGTGTGAAATACACACTGGAGGGCCTCAGCTGGCTCTCCCAACATCCTCCACCAGCCCAGCAGCTACCACCTGCCGTGCCCTGGGCTCCCGAGCCTGGGCTGTGGGGGGGCAAGAGCCTGAGCCACGCCCTCTACGTCTGCAGCCAGCCACCACCGGAAACACCCCGGGCGCCCTAGCTCCGGTGATGGGGTGCCAGGGGCCTCGACCATACCTCCCATCCTTCCGCCTCCTACCTTATTTCCCCCCGTTTCTTTTTTTTTTTTTTTTTTTTTTTTTTTTTTTTTTTTTTTTT